GGAGAGGGCGCCTGGGTGGCTCAGTGGGTTAAGCCGCTGCCTTCGGCTCAGGTCATGATCTCAGAGTCCTGGGATCGAGTCCCGCATCGGGCTCTCTGCTCAGCAGGGAGCCTGCTTTCCTCTCTCTCTCTCTCTCTGCCTGCCTCTCCGTCTACTTGTGATCTCTCTCTGTCAAATAAATAAATAAAATCTTAAAAAAAAAAAAAAGAAAAAGAAATGAGAAATCAAATTGTTTAAAGAAGATATAAATGAGTCAGGTGGGGTGGTTCAGTGTGAGGCTCAGGTTTAGAAGTGTGGACTTTGACTCTGATGTCTTACTGTTTTGTGACTTAGAAAACAAATTATTTCATATGTGATTTAACCACCAAAACAAGGGTCAGCCCAACTGCATTGCCTTGCCTCATGACTTTGGAGGGTTACATTCACTTCCTAAAAGCCCATTCTTTTCGTGTCCCTCAGTTCTTTCAAGCTTTATTGCGTACCTAGTATGTGCCAGGCATCTTGCAGAGTGTGGAGGTACAAAGATAAATAAGCCATAAAGAAAGGGATTTGGGTACAGTGTGGCACAGAAGTGTTATAGGGAATCAGGGGTTGCCAGAGAAGGCTTCCCGGAGGCACTACCTGACTTGAGCCCCAAAACATAAAGAGTCCACCCGGTGAAGACATGAGGGAAGGCCCAGCTTTTGCGATTATAGGGAGCAGCTCCAGAATGAATAGACATGCAGTGTGGAGGAAGGGTATGGACTGTGTGGAGAGCCTCCAGGTTAATGAAGCTGGAGAAGGATGGAGAATTCTGGCCACAGGATTCTTAGCCTACAATACTGATACTGATAAAGCTTAAACTTTATCCTGTAATAAAGGATAGGGTAGGGTAGGGGTGATACTGAAGAGCTTTTTAATTAGGAGGGTGATATGATCAGAATTGTGTTTTAAATAACTAATTCTGCCAGCAGGGGTTGGGGCTAGATTGAGGTAAGTGTGAAGGGTGGCCAGGAGGCCATTTACATCTTGGTAAAAGATCGAAGCTCAAATCACCTTGCCTTGCCCTTCTCTGCTTTACATTGTTTGGTGGAGAGTGTCTTGGTACAAAGCCAAGCGGGCAGATGAAAAGAAAGGATGAAAAACCGAATCAGAAGTGACAACCTTTTCAGGGTTAATTTTAATATGACAGCTGCTGAAGCATAGCAGAGTCTGTAGGCCTTTGCAGATTACATGCAGGCATCTCATTAGTTTGGATGTGGCCTATGCAAAAATCCATTGGAGAGAAGTGGGGAAGACTTTACAGGTGACATTCATCTGTGGTCCTCTGGGATTTGAAGACCTGTCACAGTAGGCCAGTGTGCTCCAGTTTTCTGCCTCCTAGTAAGGATCTCCTGAGATTCCACCAAGGAAAAAGGGAGAAAAGGAAGCAAGGACCTGTGAAGGCCTGGTGGAATACCCAGGGCTACAGGGAAGCATGGCAAAGCAGGAGAGAGAAACGTTTGCCACGCCAAGTGCTCTCCTAGCTAGAAACAGACCAATGTAATATTAAGCCCTGGGACTTCAGGAAGAGTCCTTATGTTATTCAGCCCTCAATTTTTTTTTTAGTATTTCTCTTTTTTTTTTTCTTTTTTTAAGATTTTATTTATTTATTAGAGAGAGAGAGAAAACATGAGTGGAGGCAGGGGCAGAGGGAAAGGGAGAGAATCTCAAGCCGACTTCCTGCTAAAGCAGAGCCTGACTCAGGCCCCGGAATCCCAGGGCCCCAGGATCTGACCTGAGTTGGAGGCAGATGTGTCATCGCCTGAGCCACCCAGGTGCCCCTTTCTCATCCTTTTTTGATGAAAAACTTCCTCCTTCCCATTCCAAATAGGTGACTCCCAGGAACCAAATATAAGATTTTCTTAAGCATAAATGTAGCCTCGTTCTGTAGAAGAGAATTTCTGATTCTGCATGCCTGAACTGAGGTCTCAATTTGCTTTTTCTTTTTTTTTTTTTTTTTAAGATTTTATTTATTTATTTGTCAAAGAGAGACAGAGCACAAGCAGGGGGAAGGGCAGGCAGAGGGAGAAGCAGGCTCCCCACCGAGCAAGGAACCCCATGCGGAATTCAGTCTCAGCATGCTGGGAACATGACCTGAGCGGAAGGCAGACATCCAACTGACTGAGCTGCCTAGGTGTCCCTCAGAATTTGCATTTCTCATAAGCTCCCAGATGATACTGATGTTTCCTTCTGATCTAGGTACCACACTTTGAGAACCACTACTGTATAGACATTAGAAATGTGACCCTCCCAAGGATTTAATAAAGTCTCATTATATGGTTCTTGGTGTTACCTTAATGGAAATCAGTGGAGGATCAGTAAGGCCTGCCCTACACAGCTCTAATTCTGACTCAGTATTGACTTGAGTGACTACTCTCTGTACAACCTCTGTAGTATAATATAAACCTACAGAGAGGGAAGAGATCCAGTCTTTGTGTTGGGCCCTCTAATGAAAGAAATAAGAGGGGCATCTGGCCAGCTCAGTTGGTAGAGTGTGCAACTCTTGATCTCAGGGTTGTGACTTCAAGCCCAGCATTGGGCATAGAGCTTACAATGAATGAATGAGTGATAGTTCAAGTCCCACATTGGGCATAGAGCTTACAATAAGTAATAAATAAGAAAAGAGAGAACTAAGGTTCCTGTCTGGCTCAATCAGAAGAGCATACGACTCTTGATTTTGGAGTCGTGAGTTTGAGCCCCATGTTGGGTGTAGAGATTATTTGAAAAGAAAAGAAAAAACTTGTCACATAAGGGAAAACATGAGAAATACAAAGGGGGGGGGGAGAAAGTACAAAAAGAGAACTAACCGTGTAGCCCAGAGGTCCAGGATGTCTGAGTAACCCAGGAAGAGCGTATGGAGGAGCTGTACTCGGTTTTCTGTTGCTGTGTAACAAGCTATCCAACACTCAGTGGCTTGAAACAGATGCTAGTTATTATCTCTCATAAGTCGGCAGGTTAACTGAGCTCAGCTGGGTGGTTTTTCTGCTCAGTGTGCTGTTGTCTGGGACCACAGTCCTTTAGAGGCTCGTCTAAGCTGGCATGGTCCAAGAGGACTTAGTCACACAGCAGTAGTTCATGCTGGCTTTTGGCTTGGCATCCAGAGGAAGCTGTTAATTGGAGTGCCTTAAGTCTCCACAGTGTGGCCTCTCAGCATGACAACAGGGCTCTGAGATGGAACATTCCAAACATGTAAAAATGGAATCTGCAGGTCTCCTAACACCCAGCCTCGGAAGTTACAACATGGTTACCTCTGGGGCATTCTATTAGTCAAAACAAGTCACAAGACAAGCCTCATTCAAGAGGAAGGAAATGGCCTACCTTTGGATAGTAGGAGTAGCAAAGAATTTGCAGCCATCTTTAATCTACCATAGGCTGATTGAGGCAAGTTTTACAGGATTAATAAGGATTTAACAGGCACAGCTTTCTAGGAGAAAAAGTAGTGTAGAGAAAGAGATATTTGCAAGTCTTCGGTTTGACCGGGGGTGGGGGGTGGGTACATGAAAGGGTCCTGGGAAGGGTGATGGGTCTGTGCTACACAGGGCTCCGAACAGCAGGTGGAAGAGCTTAGTCTTACACTGACAGACTTTGAGGAGTGTGGAGGACCTAGCAATGATTTTATCAGCATGATACAGTTTGGGAAATGATTCTTAAGGCTCCAAACTAGTTCTTTGTGTCTTTCCCTGTAAGCCCAGTGTTCATAGCTATGGATTTCTTCTCTTTCTGAGATGTGGGAGAGGGTCCTCACTCTTGAGGTTATTACAGATAATGCCAGGTAACCATTTTTTTTTTTTTTTAAAGATTTTATTTATTTGTCAGAGACAGAGGGAGAGAGAGTGAGCGAGCACAGGCAGACAGAGAGGCAGGCAGAGGCAGAGGGAGAAGCAGGCTCCCCGCCGAGCAAGGAGCCCGATGTGGGACTCGATCCCAGGACGCTGGGATCATGACCTGAGCCGAAGGCAGCTGCTTAACCAACTGAGCCACCCAGGTGTCCCGCCAGGTAACCATTTTGAAGGAAGAGAGCACCCTAGCAGTGCTTGTAGGACTGGCCAGAATAGGGGACTTGCAGCTTTGTGCCAGACCCAGCCAGGCTTTTTCCTGCTGCATCCAAGGTTAGTACTTAGTCTTGCCATTGTCTTTTCCCTACAGTAACCCTCCACTGAGTGAAGAGATGTTGCCTCCTGGGGAGTGGATGTGTCACCGGTGCACTGTTCGCCGAAAGGTAATAATGCCGCTTCCTGCAGGCTTTGCTCAGAATGCCAGATCTAGAGCACTGATATTCTAGAGCTAAGACGGCCTGGCCCTGAAGGCATTTTCGTCCCTTCTTCTTGTCTTTTCCAGCCCTGGAATCACCCTCACTCTCCCCATGGTGACTCTTTGGAATCCAGTAGGGCCTAAAATCCAAACATGAGCTGCTGAAATGGGCAGAAGAGGTGTGTTAATTTACTGAGCCCTGTTCATTCACTAGTGACAGGAGTAGGCTGATAAGTGGCTTGAATGTGGCAGCTATATCCATGACTGAAAGTGGCTAAAGAAAAAAAAGGCTGCTTTTCTAGCTTGGTGGAAAAGGATTTCCCTCACCCCAAGGCAGATAAGTCACTGATATCCAGAGGCTTGGCTGGATGTATGAGGGACCGAAGACTTTGAACCCATCTGCACCCCAGGTTACCTAATCCCTCTTTAGCTCCCCTTCCCTTGTCTTTGATAATTCAGCACTGGCTTGGAGAACATCATTTTCTATTTTGAGTCCTTTTATGGCTTGCAAAAGCTAAATTCCTCTTTCTCAAAAAAGGAAGTAGGTGTGTTTCCATCCAGATTATGAGAGAACCAATCCTCAAATTATAGACTGTGGATTAGAATCTGTCTATGAATCGTAAACTGTCTCCTTCCCTCCTCTCACACTAATTACACAGCAAGCAACTTGCCTTCGTTGTGACATCATCTCTGTTTTCCCAGCCCCTGAACATGATGTCACAATGAATGATGATTTCCTTGGTTGCAGAAACAGGATGAGATGATTCAGAGATTGTGGTTTATGTGTGTAACAGTTTTCGGCCTTTAGGAAGGTAAACAGATAGGCAGACTTTTATTTTTCAACATGTGCACAAGGGTTCTTATTAAAAGGCAAGGCAAGGCTCAGTCAACCACTTAGCCCCAGCTGTAGTTTGGTTATCTCCTAAGGTCCACAAACCAGGCTGTCCTCTAGCCTGTCCACCTCACAAGGTCGCTCCCTGTGTGTCCTTGGTTAGGTTAGAGCAGGGCCCGTTAGTAGCACCTGCCAGCCAGGAGGCCTTTCAGAAACCTGCCACTGAAGAAGCTGGATGTGAAAGGGTTGGGAACAGCTCCGGGAGAAGTGAAGCCAGGAAAAGAGGGTGGAAGAGAGGAATTAACATTAGTTTGGTGCCCATCATGCACCGGGTATTTTGCATATGTTGTCTCATTTAATCCATACAGCCATCTGTGGGTACTGGGAGTAGTACCTCCATTTTAAAGAGGAAGAAACTGAGGCTCACTAATGTAGAATAACTTTCCCAAGTTAGAAGTAAAGAATTAACAGAGCCAAGATTTGAGCCAAATTGCTTCACTCCAAGCTCTGTTACCTCTTCATCAGTTTTCTAGAAGCAGAGCTGCTTGGTGGGGATTCTAGTAGCCTTTTTCTAACATAGTGTGCTTTCCCCGAAATGCCGCTCTGACGTGCTTTCGGATGGCGCTCTTTGCCCATTGTCAAGTCTGCCTTTGCCAGCACCACTATCTCTGTCCGCCTTTGACCTCCTATAGTTATGCTGAAGTAGACTGAAATGATACATCCTTTGGCCCTCAGCAACCTCTGATGTTCAGGTCCTGTCCCTAGTGGAGGCTGGATCTTCCCCTGACTCAGAGCCTTCATCCTTTTCATATATGGGACCCTCTTTCTCTACCGTATCTCTGAAAGGTGGAGAAAAAAGGTTTTATTAGTCTTACTTTCCAGACAGAGAAATTCCTGCACACCAACCTGAGTCATCTAGGGTCATAAGGAATCATTGGCAGTACTGGGACAGATCCCAGGTCTCCTGACTGGAGACCAGTGTTAAACCTTCATTTGACCACTCTTTTGAGTCCTAGAGGAAAATATAATACCAGCCATCCAGTCCTACTGAATAAACATGGTCTTTTTCCATTTCCCCATCGTCCCATTTGAAGAAATGTCCCTTTCAGAGTTCTAGTTAAACTTAAAACATTGAAAGTCACTGGTCTCAGACACTGTGGTGGCTACCTTCCACACACCAGCCGTCCACTTTGTAGTGTAGTTACTTTACATGTTAGCACCCAGCCTCCCTGGACAGGGAGCTGTGCTTGCCTATTTTACCTCTTACCTTTGTATTTGCAGACTTTATTTGGAGCAAAATTCTTAAAACCATTCAGAATGTCAGGATGCTTCAAGGCAAACTACAGTGATGTTGAATCCCTTTACGTTTTTCTCACTGTTCTCACTTAGCCTCACTCTGTTTATTCTCACTGTGGTAACTTTTTATCCCTTTGCCTCTGTGCTTTGTATAGAGATAGTGTGGATCATACGATGACTTAGAGTAAAGGATGTATGAGAAGTGTGTATAATTGTTTCTAACTTTCTCTGCTGTTTGGTGATTCTCTGCCGCTGTAGTTTGTTAGTTTAGTGTAGTTCAGGTGTAGTTTTGTCAACTTGAACAGACAGGTGAGAGACCGGTGTTCCGAGTCTCCAGGCAGATGAGTCTGACAGGTTAGAAAATTTCATAATTTTGGCTAGTGATCTAGCAAGGACTTGGTAGTATCCATTTCTTTCTCTTTTGTGGTACTTGATGTGATGGGCCTGCCTGTTCATTTGCACAGAAACGAGAGCAGAAAAAGGAGCTGGGCCACGTCAATGGACTGGTGGACAAATCCGGCAAACGGACTACATCCCCCAGCAGTGATACTGACTTGTTGGACAGATCAGCCAGCAAAACTGAGCTCAAGGCCATTGCCCATGCCCGGATCCTGGAAAGGAGAGCCAGCCGGCCTGGCACACCCACATCCAATGCCAGCACAGAGACCCCCACTTCTGAGCAGAATGACGTCGACGAGGACATCATTGACGTGGACGAGGAGCCAGTGGCAGCAGAGCCAGACTACGTGCAGCCCCAGCTAAGGCGGCCGTTTGAGCTGCTGATCGCTGCTGCCATGGAGCGGAACCCCACCCAGTTTCAGTTGCCCAATGAACTGACTTGTACCACCGCACTACCAGGTTAGCCAAACTCTTACACCCCATCCCCACCTCACCCCAGCTTCCCCAAAGGGCTGCTGTCCAGCTGGAGGGCTGTGCTGCCTGTGGGGTCACTGTGCGCGGAGCCGCCCTCAGTTTCCTGTTCTTCATTCTTCCTGGACATCTTTGAAGGTTTTAACTTTTACTCTGCTTATTTCTGTTTTCTGCCCTTCAATGTATCACCTTTTTAAAAATACAGGTAATATGTTTTCATGGTTTGAAAGCGAAAAAATATACAAAGATTTTAAGTGAAAAATTTCCCTTCTGCCCCGTCTGCCATTTGCCTCGTTTCTACCTTCCTACCCCTCACAGATAACCACTGTTTGGTTCTTGTGTATTTCCTTCTAGAGTTTCTTTGTGCATATACAAGCAGTTATAGATAATATGCTCAGTATTTTCCCTCTAACTAGCTTACTTGGCATACTGCTCTACACCTTGCTTTTTTCACTTCACGATATCCTCTAGCAGTCTTTCCATATTAAATGTAGGCATTCCTCAGTTTTTCTTAATGGTTACATAATGACCTATTATATAGACATGCCATAATTTATTTAACTGATTTTCTGGTAATGGACATTCAGGTTGTTCCTAATCTTTTGTTGCTATAGATGGTGCTTCAACAAATAATTTTATAATTATATCATTGTGTACATGTGATTGTATCTGTAGGGTAAATTCCTAATGTTTGAATTGCTGGGTTATAACTATGCATTTATAGTTTGGTAAGGTGTTGCTAAATTACCCTCCATACTTTTTTTTTTTTTTTTTTTTTTTTTTTTTTTTTTTTAATCAAGTCATGTCTTCTACTTGATACCACAAAGCTTCTAGATGTTCCTTTCTTTTTCCCAGAGAAAGTGAAATTGACAGTCTTAAGAATCCTGGTCAGGGGCCGCCTGGGTGGCTCAGTTGGTTAACTGGCTACCTTCAGCTCAGGTCATGCATGATCCCAGGGTCCTGAGATCGAGTTCCACATCAGGCTCCTTGCTCAGCATGGAGCCTGCTTCTCTGTCTCCCTCTGCCTGCTGCTCCCCCTGCTTGTTCTCTCTCTCTCTCTCAGATGAATAAATAATTAAAATTAAAAAAAAAAAATCCTGGTCGTCAGCAGGATGTATATGGAATCCAAGCTTTTCTGATTTCTGTTAAAAATGCAGTAAAGTTACAGTCTTTTCCTCAGGCACCTCCATCAAACAGTCTTTGTTGACTGACTCGGGTCCTTATATTCCTTAGGTTACCAGTATCTAACAACCCGGGCTTCTGACCACTTCATATTTGCCAAACATAAAGCTGTGTTTCTGCCCCAGAACAAATGACCTCTGACCATGGTTCTGATTTCTGTCTGTGTTCCTTTCCCTGCTTTCCTGTTCTTTTTCTCATTTGAAGCCATCCCAAGGGGTCTCAGAGAGAGACCCATATCTAGGCCATGCCACATGCTTTTTCCTGAGATCTGATCTTTCACATACTGTTGTTTCTGTGTCTCAGACTAGGAACTCAACATCCAGGAAAGCTCAGCACCATCAATTTCTCTTCTAGGTTCTAGCAAGAGGAGAAGAAAGGAGGAAACCACAGGGAAAAATGTTAAAAAGACACAGCACGAGTTAGATCACAATGGTCTTGTTCCCCTACCAGTCAAAGTCTGCTTCACATGCAACAGGTATTTTTCTTCCATCCTAAGGACTCTTCTCCATAGTCAGCAAATGGTATTTTTTCTCTCTCCTGTCTCCTCTTCCAAACCCTCTTTGTTAAATGTGGACAACCCGTATTCTGATGGTGTGAGTACAGAGACTGGCTGACCGACTGACCAGAGCCTTGACTGTCTTAACAAATTCCCTGAAGTACCTGAGACTATGTTTACAGAAACTTGGGTGAGAGGAGTTGGACTTAAACAGAAGCAGGAGATACTTAAACTAGCTAGGAGGAGCAGCTCTGGCCAGCAGAGACACAGGTCCCTGGAAAAGGCAGATAATTTTTTAAATCACCAAAGGTGAATTTAAAAGTAGTTCAGGTGTCCATGTAGCTAGTATGCATCAGACTGGATGACTTCCAAACGCCTCCAGGCTTCCCCTTTCTCCTTGTAGCTTTCCTGAGACACTGGTTTCCTTCAAATAGGATATCCTCAGTGAAAGGAACCTGCTGCTTCAATTACTGAAGCCGGACTTTGTGGCCTGGGTGTCTTAGAAGGGCAGGATAGCAGGAGAAAATAGCTATCAAAAAGAAATATGCCAAAGGGAAAAAAAGAAATGTTCCACAACAAAAGCTGTAGGGAACTAGATAGTAGAGCAGCAGAACTCTGAGCCAGGCCCAGGCTGAGGCTCCCATGCATCTCAGACAGCCGAGGAGAATCGTGGTTACAAGTCAGAGTTGATATTTGCTGAAGCTCCTCCCTTGAACCATGCATACACAAATATGTTAAAAATCCTTCCCCAGCACACCTATCTCTGCATGTCATTTTTGCTGAGTGCTTTGTGCAGAAGAGACGTCTTTTCTTGCTGTAGTGTAAGACTCTAGAAACATGGCTAGAGATTTTTTTTTTTTTTTAATGAGGTAGTAGTTAACTTTCTTTTAAGGAGTAGAAAGATCAGAACAGAGTTGGCCGTCTTCCCCATGTGGGTGCTGAGCATTGATCATTCCTGCTCTGACAGCCACTGTAGCTGTACTCCAAATAAACATTCCTTTCCCCACAAGACACATTCCTCTGAAAAGAGAGAATAATGGAGAGCCTGGTGGCAGCCCCGAACTTCATCCATCTTCCTGATTGTGAGTGGAACTGATCACTGGGGGAGGAGGCTCTGGGAGAACGTAGTGAGGGTTAAGGAGGAGAAGCTGTTCCACAGTGCAGAGTTGGTTTGAATTTTCCCATCTTGCCACAGAAATGGCCTACAACTCTTTTTTGCAGGAGCTGCCGTGTGGCCCCTCTCATCCAGTGTGACTATTGCCCCCTCCTGTTCCACATGGACTGCCTCGAGCCACCGCTCACTGCCATGCCCCTGGGCAGATGGATGTGTCCGAATCACATCGAACATGTGGTGGTAAGTGCAGCGTCGCCCCTTCAATTCTCTTTGGGCACAGCTGGAACGTGTGGACTGATTCAGTAGAAAGCATCGTAGGGTCAGGTTTGTACCAGAGTTCACCATAATCTCGCAGATACTGGGTTCTGTAGACCGTCCTCTTCAGGTCTGATTATTTTGTGTGCATTTTGCCTTTCCCCACAATGCCTTGTTTTAGCTGTACAGGCAGACTTGGTTGTTTATGTATAATTTCTTCCACAGTGAATTAAGCAGCTGATGTTACAGCTCTAAAAGGGGAGTATGTTAGATCCAACTTACGGGAATAAATGCTCTTGTAGTAGTTGCTTCCATATTTTCCTGCCTCTTATTTTTAGAGGAAACAAACTAAGAAACTCTGAAACGTTTATTCCTCTATCCTAGGAATTATCACAGGCAGTCAACTCCCAGTAACTCGGGAGAGTTGAAGAATTGGCATGGGTCACAGCCAGTCAGCCAGTGACTAAACCCTAATGTGTCCTGGGCACCACATGAGTCTCTTTCCTTTATCTAGTTTTTGACACCCACCTTGTCATGGTATATAATAGGTATTCGTCGAATGAATGAATGGTGTGAGGGTCCTTCTATCTTCTCTCCCAGGAGTCTCGGGTGCAGTTTCCAGATGCTTCCTGGGGCTCAAACAGAACTCTAGTTTGCTGTCTCCAAAAGAGGCTTAAGCTTAGTCCCTTTCCTGCTAGGCACTAAGAACAGTCATTTACAAGGTTGAATGGGTGAGGGCTTCCGAAGAGCAGCTCCCTCAGAAGAGCAGCCTTTCAGATTAAAAAGAGATTATCGCTTAAGACACTGTCTCTCAGATGGTAATAACCATGGAATGTCTTGTGACGCTCAGCGTGACCGTGTGCTCCTCGCGTTGCACTGAGGGACCGTAGTTAGAGACTTGTACGCGTGTTGCTTCGGCCTCTTCATTCGGCTGACGCTGCTCAGGGCTAGGCTAGGAGGACGCTTCTCTCTGAGCCGCAGTTATGAGTGTTTCATTTTGCCTCCTGCTGAACTGGAAAAAAAGCAACCATGAGTGGTATGCCCAAATACGAATCTTAAAGAGCAGCTTTCCAACAGATGAAAAATTAATTAGGTAATTTTTTTATTAGCCACTTAGGGGTTCTTCCTACTTGACTAATTAGGAAGCTGCGGTGCAGATCTTTTCTTTTGAGTTACAGACGTGGAAGCGGAAAGGTGGCTCAGGATTTATATGCCTTCTGTGTGCCGCTGCATCAGCTTCGTTCTTCCCTCTGTCTGGCCTCTGAGAGTGGTCCCGGTTTCCCACCTCCTGTAGAGCAGGACTGTGGGAGCCGAGTGGGCTTGCTGCTACTCCATGCTATGTTGAAAGAGGACTAGGGCAGGGTGCATGGGCATTCTGGTGCTGATCCCTGCTGTCAGCCACGCTCCTGTGTAGAAAACCGTCCTGCTTCCTGTGGGCAAGAGTGCCTTCTAGAAAGGGAGTCTGGGTCTTGAGGGCCAAGGCCTGCACCTCCACTGAAACCTGTACTCTGTTAGGGTATGCTGGCAAAAGGTGGTGTGAGCTGTCAGAGGCTGAATTTGAAGGGCATTTCTTGGCTAATTTCCTATTTTCTGTCCCCCTCAAGCCTCTCTAGGGAATAGAACATACTAGCTTTCCCTTGCTAGACCAGGCAGAGCGGAGGGAGGACGTCTTATCCATGTTCCCCTGGCCCTCTGACAGGAGTGTTGCTATAATACCAGCTCCTGATAGAAGAAGCCTGTGTGGCCAAGGGCTTCTATTTTTCAAACCTAGAGAATAGAGGTCATTGGGAAGGGGATGCCTTTTGAGGTTCATTGCAAGAGTGTGTCTGCTTTGTCCCTAGCTGAACCAGAAGAATATGACGTTGAGCAATCGGTGCCAGGTGTTTGACCGTTTCCAGGACACCATTTCACAGCACGTGGTCAAAGTGGACTTCCTGAACCGAATCCATAAGAAGCACCCTCCTAACCGCCGTGTGCTCCAGTCAGTCAAAAGAAGAAGCTTGAAGGTGAGTCCCAGCCTGGTGCAGGCAGGATAGTGGGCTCTGATTGTTTTCAGGGAACAGACAGGATCATGGGCCTGAATTTATAGATAGGGAGACTGAAGTCCCGACGTTTGTCTCTGGTGTCTCAACAAGTGGTGAATGTGACCATACGTTTTCATGTTTGAGGATGGAGGTCAGGACTACCAAGGCAAAGCCCCAAATTCTACGAGTCTCCAGTTCTGAGGATCAGTGCTCTTCAGCCCCTTCTGCCAAACAGATGTACTCTGCCTCTGCTACCCTCACCGGGCACTCATGCTCTCTGTTCCTGGGAGATGACCCCCGTCCCAGAGCTGCCTAGTGGGGTGAAGGCGGTGGTGATGAAGCAGAGGACCACCTGTCCCGGCTGAGGAACTTAAGAGGAGAATGACTAAAGGAGAGTTAAAACAGTTTTTCCAGGCTGCTGGTAATATATCATGAATACCCCAAATTGTGGCCTTGGCTGTAATATTACCTGACATTCATATGCACTTGACAGTTGCAAAAGTGTGTCCACAGGGGCGCCTGGGTGACTCAGATGGTTAAGCGTCTGCCTTCAGCCTGGGTCACGATCCCAGAGGCCTGGGATTGAGCCCCCCATCAGGTTTCCTGCTCAGTGGGGAGCCTCCTTTTTCCTCTCCCTCTGTCATTCCCTCCACTTGTGCTCTCTGGCTCTCTCTTCTCTGTCAGATAAATAAAATCTTTTAAAAAATAAAGTGTGGGGGCACCTGGGTGGCTCAGTCATTAAGCATCCACCTTCAGCTCAGGTAGTAGCCCCAGGGTCCTGGGATTGAGCCCCACATCAGGCTCCCTGCTGAGCAGGAGGCATGCTTATCCCTCTCCCACTCCCCTTGCTTGTGTTCCCTCTCTCGCTGTCTCTCTCTCTCTCTCAAATTAAAAAAAAAAAAAAAACTTAAAAAAAAATAAAATGTGTCTACAAAGATCAACAGGAAAAAAAATCCCTTTGTTGAAAAGCATTTGGGGGTGTTGAGGATGTTTTCATAGACCAGTCAGTTCCCTCATTTAACCTGGAGAGCCCAGCACTGTATACACAAACATAGGCGTGAATTTTATCTTCTGAGAAATCCCCCAGACGGTGCTCTGTGCCAGTGGAGACCAGCAGTTCTCAAATATGGCCACTTGGTGGCACCCTCGCTTTAACGCACTCACACCACTCCCGTCACTTGGCAGTGGATGTCAGCACCAGCAAGATACTAACTGTTGGAAATTGTGTGACAATCTCTTAACCATGTAAATATTTACACTTCAGTGCAAACACCAGTTTCCAAAATTAAATGAAGGTATTTTCAGTTGGGTGTATTATAGAGGTGGCATGCCTCATACCTTAGTGAAACAGATTTAAAAGAGATCTAAACTGTAGATTAGGAAGAGAACATGATGACTAAAATGAATAGGTCAAGAAGCCTTGATAAAACCCTGCTGTTTGTGGCGCCTGGGTGGCTCAGTGGGTTAAAGCCTCTGCCTTCGGCTCAGGTCATGGTCCCAGGGTCCTGGGATCGAGCCCCGCATCAGGCTCTCTGCTCCACAGGGAACCTGCTTCCTCCCCTCTCTCTCTGCCTGCCTCTCTGCTTGCTTGTGATTTTTGCCTGTCAAATAAATAAATAGAATCTTTAAAAAAAAAAGAGAATTGGACACTTAGGGGCACCTGGGTGGCTCATTTGGTTAAGCCACTGCCTTTGGCTCAGGTCATGATCCCGGAGTCCCAGGATCGAGTCCAGCATCAGGCTCCCAGCTCCACGGGAGTCTGCTTCTCCTTCTGACCTTGCCCCCTCTCATGCGTGTGCGCACGCACTCTCTCTCTCTCTCAAATAAATAAATCTGTTATTTAAAAAAAAAAAGAATTGGACACTTAACCGATTGAGCCACTCAGGCACCCCCTCCCCTTCTATAAAGGGTTCCCTATTCTTGAGGAAAATCCAAGGCCATGAATTTTCTGGGAAGCATTTTGTACTTAGACAATCCAGGAGCGGATTGAGGACTGTGGCCAAGAACTGCTCAGCTCTGTCCTGGAACATCTCTATCATTGACCGAGCAGTGCGGCAAAATCAGCTTAAGAACTTTGTAGTTTTGCTGGGGATTCATCTTCCTGCTACGCCTTCACTCTTCACCAGGGGACAACCTTAGATTTGCATACCATTCTATTCCTCCACCTCCCATTCCTGGATGACCTCAGACAAGCCCCTGGCACCGGCCATCAATATTAATGGTACTGACTCTTGATTCCACTTGCCTTGCCTTTCTCCTCATATCCAGATTCATGTCTGCTCACCCACCCCATGGGCATTTCGGTCTCAACTTGCCCAAGACCAAAAGTCTTCTGCCTCCAAATCTGCTCTTCTTCTTGTATTTCTTGTTTCTATAGTAAATAACCACAGTCTCCACCCAGCCCCTCAAACCAAAATGCTGGAAACCATTTTCAGCTCTTCTCCCCTTATCCTCCTTAAGGACTCAGTCACCAAATCTGTCCTCCAAATGTTTTCCAAATCTACCAAGTGCTTCCACATCTCTGTGCCATGTATGCTGTTCCGCTGCCCTCAGTTCCCCTTCCTCTGCCTGGAAGTTCTCAACTTAACAAGGCTTAGATCAAATACTGCCTTCCTGTAAAATCTTTCCTAATCCCAAATTCCTGTGCCCTCCCGACCCAGACAGAAATGAGCACTCTTCCTCTATGTTTTTTATAGTTCCTCAGCCATGCTTCTATCCTAGGACTCATTATGTTGTGTTGTAATGTTTCTGTTTATCTCCCCAACTAGACTGTGCGCTCCTTGAGAGCAGAGCTTAAGTTTTATTCGTCTCTGGATCTCTAGGACTTGGGACAGTACCCAGACTCAGGAGGTGCCCAATAAATACTGGTCGGATGTATGAATGACTCTTTGCTTGTGGTGTGGCTCTTTCATTCTTACGTGGTATGATTCAGAATGTGTCTTCTGTCTTTGTACAACAAAGAGGTCTTCAGCTGTTTGATTAGTCTTGAATGAATGGCTGAAGAAAACTGACCTTGACTGAGTGCTTGTCACAGGTCAGGCCTCATGCTGAGCATTTCCACTGTGAATGTGACCTCCTTTAACTTTTTACCTGTCAGATACTGCTCACTCCCCTCCCAAACTTGATGCCGAGCAGTGGGAGCCTAGAGTACTGCTGTGAGTCTGTGTCCAGAATCAGTCTTAGGCCAAAGCAGTGGTTTCTGCCCTCTGTGGGCCTTACACCTTGCTGAAGAAGTTGGGGGCTGCGGGTGGCGGCATGTGCCTGCTGTCTCCATTTCTGTGCCTTCTCAGGCTGACGCGTGTGTGTCTGAGGCACAGAGCAGTTGCAGCCCACGGAGCCTCCTTGTCCTAGTGGACCCCAGAGTGCATGATGGTCCCATGGGCATTGGCTCCACCAGGAGAAAAAATGCAGTCGGGGCAGAATCCGCTGGACTTGTTGGCGCCATCTCCCTCTCCTTCCTCCTCCTGTCTGTCCTAAACAGGTTCCTGATGCTATCAAATCCCAGTACCAGTTTCCACCCCCTCTCATTGCACCTGCGGCCATTCGGGATGGGGAGCTGATCTGCAATGGGATCCCTGAGGAATCGCAGACGCACCTTTTGAACTCTGAGCACTTAGCCACCCAGGCAGAGCAGCAAGAGGTGAGTGAAGGCAGGGCCGGGATCCTGCAGCCAGTCTTCCTTCCATCGCACCACAGCTGTTACTGGAAGTAGCCTCAGTGCCATTCCCATCCCCATCTTCTGCAACCCCACCCACCCCTCCCCCATCCCCCAAGAGTTGACTATTCCGGAGAGAACTTCTGGCCGATATTCTGAGGCAAGTAAAAGAAGTACAGAGTCAACCAGTCTGCTTCTCTCCGTTGGCCCCCTGCTGTGCTGCGAGGCGGGCACATCCGTCTCATAGAAAGAGTGCAGTAGACCCCCAGAGAGGTCAGGTGGTAGTGCTGAGCGCACAGCAGTGGCTTAGGGTACCTGCTGCCTGTTGGTGAGCCTTAGGGGCAGAGCCCGAATGGGAACCCCAAGCTCTGCTGACCAGGGTGTTGCCTGCTGAGTGCACCAACAAGTCTCACTTGGGACTGGAAGTGGAATCCTGTCGGAAGTCCAGCACACCTTTTCTGGGCATTCGCGATGGGACCTCGGAAACGGCGCTTATCGGCTCTGCTCTAGCCCCGGCCACTGGGGCAGGAAGGACCAGTGCCTCCCAGGCCTCTCACCCTCCTCTCCTCTCCTCTCCTTCCGTTGCAGTGGCTCTGTAGTGTTGTTGCGCTCCAGTGCAGCATATTGAAACATTTATCTGCTAAGCAGATGCCTTCGCATTGGGACTCTGAACAGACAGAGAAGGCTGATATTAAGCCTGTTATTGTGACTGACAGCTCAATCACCACCTCCCTGCAAACAGCTGACAAGGCACCTACACCTTCCCACTGCCCCTTGTCCTGCCCCTCAGGGATTAGCACCCAGAATTCCCTGAGCTGCTCTCCACCCCACCAGCCCCCAGCCCTAGAGGACATCAGCTGCAGTTCTTGTGCGGAAAAATCCAAGAAAGCCCCCTGCGGGACTGCCAACGGGCCAGTGAGCACAGAGGTGAAAGCCAATGGCCCACACCTCTACAGCAGCCCCACTGATTCCACGGACCCCCGGCGACTTCCAGGCGCCAACACCCCCTTACCAGGCCTCTCCCACCGGCAAGGCTGGCCCCGGCCCCTCACGCCACCAGCGGCTGGGGGGCTTCAGAACCACACCGTCGGCATCATTGTGAAGACAGAGAATGCCACTGGCCCCAGCTCTTGCCCCCAGAGGAGTTTGGTTCCTGTCCCAAGCCTGCCCCCTTCCATTCCCAGCTCTTGTGCCAGCATCGAGAACACCAGCACTTTGCAAAGAAAGACTGTCCAATCACAGATAGGACCTCCGTTGACAGATTCAAGGCCACTGGGCTCACCCCCAAATGCCACCCGGGTGCTCACTCCCCCCCAAGCAGCAGGAGATGGTATCTTGGCCACAGGAGCCAACCAACGATTCTGCTCACCAGCGCCATCATCAGGTGAGTGCTGCTCAGCCTTGGGGTAATTTGGATCCAGTCCTTTCGTGCTCCTCCTGGCAGTTAAACTTCAAAAAACACTTGTATTCCTGTGAATATTTCAGAGGACTTTAGTCTCTCTCTTACTTGCTCTCTCCACATTTAGGTGGTAGAGGAGAAAGCATGCTTTAACTTGTCCCCGTTTTATTGGTGGGATTGCTTAGGCTCTGAAAGTTCAGTGATTTCCTCCAGGTGACCTACCAAGTCAGTGGCAGGATTGGAACTACAGCCAGGTCTCCTGAATCCCCTTTCCACACCTCTCAGGCCTAGTCTTTTGCCTGTTCTTGTTCTCTCTCCTTAGAGGAGGCAGCATGCTCTGTTCAGCCACTGTGGCCAGCTGGAGATTCTAGGCAGTGGCCTCCTGAGTTTCAGTATCCATACCAGAGACCAGATCCCACCTGATCTAGATTCTCAGAGCCCGCTCATTTGAAGGACCTTCCAGGTCCGGGGAAGCAGGGATAGAAAGCAACACTGCCTTTCAGAATAGCAGCACAGCGGCAGGCCCGCAGAGGTTGGCCTGACCCAAACACTCTCCCTCAGGCCGCGTGCAGAAAGGCAGTACTCTATACCCATACTTGGCCTAGTGTGGACCTGCTCTCTCAGCTATCCCCAGTCAGCACTCCGGACCTCGAGATTGCTGACCCCAGCATCTGAACTAGGTTTCAGATGCTGCTGGAACCCCCTGTGGTCTCTCCCGTGTGAACTGAAGCTGGCCTCCTAGTCAGCTGGGAGTCTCGGTAACCAGGTGACTGTGACTTCTCTGCATGGGGGCCCCTGGTCCCAGGATGGCCCCTACCTTCAGGCTCTTTTCCTGTCTCCGTTTACCTCTTACTACCAATCTGGATAGGTTTTGCTCCCTTTGCGTCAGGAGGCAAGAGTTACAGAGGCAGGCGCTGCTTACGTGAGTGCGTAGTGCAGGGAGGTAGCGATGGCCCAGAGAACAGAGCCGCCCCGTCACGTTCCCCAGAGCAGTAGATTTCACCAGCTCCCGGTGCCCTGGAGAATCCTGCATACCTGGGTGCATTGTTCCATCTGCCCTTCCTCACCACACATTTTTAGCTCTAGGAGTTCCAGAGCCTATGGGGTGAGAATCAAGAAGGGAACATCACCTTGGGTCCGAAATCCAGACCTGTCTCGGCAGTGGGGGATTGGACCGGTGGGTTTCCCTCGTAAGGCGACGTAAGTAACCGTCTTCCTGCTCCGTCCCCAGATGGCAAGGTCAGCCCCGGCACGTTATCCATAGGAAGCGCTTTAACCGTACCCTCTTTCCCAGCCAACTCTACTGCCATGGTGGACCTCACCAGCTCACTGCGAGCATTTATGGATGGAAATGGAGGTGAGTGAGTGAGTGAGCTGCTTTGTGGAGGTGCTGTTCCTGCGCCTTCAAGCTCATTTCAGAAGGGAACAGAAGGGATGCCTGATCTCTGAGGGCTGGGGAGGTGGGTTAAGAAAGAAAGCCCCTCCTTCTTCTGCCTTCTACACCTCATAATCAAAGGTGAAGTGAGAGCAGAGCCAGCTAAGCCTGTGAGAAAAGAGGATAATTACCCAGGGCAGAGTAAAACCAGGAGGTCCTTGTTCCCTGAGTTGGAGAGAACAGAGGTGCCACTGGCCCTCTGCGAAGAGAGGCTGGGTAGAAAAATCTGATTATCAGTGTCATACATCCAGCCCTCCCCCCACAGGCGGCAAGTGGTGTATCTTGCTCTGCCCTTCTAGGACCACTCGACCCGAAATCAGGCCACCCACCTCCAAGAGACAGCTGCACTGGCTGCATTGGGGCCCGTCTCTCACTGCATATGGCCAGTGAGATGCCCAGCTCGGGATCCTTACGCCACTTTGTACTCTCTGCCGTTCGAGAACAGTCACTTGGCTAGAGTGTAGAAATGCTAAACAATTCGCTGTGTGATCCTCACCTATTTCCACGTTGCATTTCCTCCTCAGCTGCTTTTTAATCTTTCTCTTTGGTTAATAGAAATCGAGATAAATATGCTGGACGAGAAGCTGATCAAGTTTCTGGCCTTGCAGAGAATACATCAGCTTTTCCCCTCCCGGGTCCAAGCTTCACCGGGCAGTGTCGGGGCACACCCGCTGGCTTCTGGAGGGCACCACACTGAAGGTGCGCGTGCACACATCTGCCAACAGCCCACCATCCAGTCTCCCCTCTGTGTGTGAGCATATGTCTCCACTCCGTGAGCCATCTCGGTTTTCAGAATCACAGTGCCCCGTGTGTGCCTTTCACAGGCTCAGTAAAGCACCGTGGCTTCTTTCCCCAGAAAGCAGGAACAAAAAGCAACTACAGCTTTCACATCAGACTCAGGGAAGTCTGCTTAACTGTCTTTCATGCTCATCCGCTTTGAGACACAGAGGGCAGCTACCGGTGCCTTTGGGTATATGTGGTACGCTTTCTGCTGAACGGTGTTCAGATATTTGGGTTACAAAGATTTCCCAAAAGGGAATTTTTCAAGTTCAAGGTGAGAAGCCAAATAACAGTTGGGCTAGGGGCACCTGGCTGACTCAGTTGATAGACTCAGTTGATAGAGACTCATGATCTTAGGGTCAATGAGGGTCATGAGGCTGAGCCCCGTCTTGGGCATGGAGCCTACTTTAAAAATAAAAAAGAAAGAAAATAACAGTTGGGCTAGCCTCCTGGAAATTCTTCCCACAAGTCTAACTGCTTAGGCTCTTTTTCTGAGCATTAACCCTTAATGAGCCTTACTGATTGAAATCATGTGGTCCCCAGACCAGCAGTACCAGCGGGCTTGTGGGAAACACAGAGTTCAGGCCCCACTTCTGACCTGCGGCATCAGAACAACATTTTAGCAAGATCCCTAGTTGATTTGTGTGCACACCAAAGTTTGAGAAATGCTGGTCCGTGTCTTCTGCTGTTTGGCATCCCTCTCTATGGTATCGTCTGGTCTGTCCATGATAAGCCAGTCAGCAGCCCAGGAACTTAAAGTACTTTCATCCTTGACTTCTGTGACCTTCTTTTAAGGTGGAAATGCTTAACCCATGTTGGGAATGCTGTGGGTGGGGGGAGAGTGTCATGCTGAAGCAGCCCAATGTCCAAGGTATGTTTGGTGGGATGATACATCTAGTGGGATCTTTTTCTGTAGGCCACAAGCCAAAGGTCTGGGTTCTTCTGGTTTATGTTTGGATCTCAGGTTCTGAGTTTCTGAATGATCCTATCCCTGTGTTTGTCTTGTAGTGCAAAGAAAGGAGGTACAGGCCCGAGCTGTGTTCTACCCTCTCTTAGGGTTGGGAGGAGCTGTGAACATGTGCTACCGAACCCTATACATCGGGACAGGTGGGCCAGCTGGGGAAGGCACCAAAATCTCTTCAGCCCCAAATACTAATATCCTTACCCACAGGGCCAGAAAGGGGGGAGGGAAACCCTCTCCAGGGCTGACTGGTTTAACCCAGCAGATATCCAGGCAAGAGGGACTAAGAAAGGAGATTATCAGCTGCTTGTCTTCCCCGGCTCCAGCCCTTTTGCTTGGGCCCAGCATGACCTCGGGAGAGAGGGGAGTCAGCTCTGATTGCTGCTCAGCGAGCCATTCCAGGCGTGCAGGAGATACCTGCGTAGAGGGCACGCACTGTGTCCCTGGAGGTCTTCGAGAAAGTGATAGGGCTCACACACCCATAACCTTTCCTTAGTCCTGTATCTTGTACGGAGGGATAGTCAGCTTAGCCTGCGACCAAGAAATCTCCTTTCTTTCCGATGATAGGATTTATGAACCCTGCAGCCCATGTTGTGCCCTCATGGAAATAACCCCCCCTCTTCAGGAGTTCACTCTTCCCTTCTGGGCAGTAGCCACATGTTCTGAATGAAATCGGCTGGCAGGGACAGCTGTTCTTTCCAAGGGGATTGGAAAAGAAATCAGTTTTTGTTCAAAAATACAAGGAAGGGGCCCCAAGCTAGATTCTCCGTGAGGTCTTACCAGTAGCCGCCCAGAAGCTAACTCCCTGCCCCCCACCTTCCCCATGCATACACCTTACAGTCTGTTCTCTGCCTGCCTTTGCTTCTACTCCTGCCACTTGCAGGAGCTGACATGGACGTGTGCCTTACAAACTATGGTCACTGTAACTACGTGTCCGGGAAACATGCCTGCATATTCTATGATGAGGTGAGGGGTGGGGATGGGGTGGGAGGGGGCTCTCCCCACCTGAGGCCTCTCCTAGGCACTGGGGTTTTTGTTCAGTGTCCTGGGTGTGGGGAAGCGGGGCGGGGAGGTCTTCTCTTCCTCCGTCCCTGTCATTCCTGGAGGAGAAGAGTCTTGGTATGAAAGGGTGTCCTACCGTGGCTACCCTCCCCAGGAACAGGGCTGCCATTTCTCCTGAGGTTGGTCAGAGGCTCAGCAGGGGGAGCTCCCCCAAAATCAGGGCAGGGGACCAGCATAGAAGGAAGCCAAGCCCTCTGTGCCAGTGAACAGCATTTCAAGAGGAGGCAGAGTAAAGGAGCCATGGGAGAGTGGGGGTGAGCTAGGGGGGTGGGGGCCACTGGGAAGGAAGGCTTCCCAGAGGAGGTGAGTCTTGAGCCCTATTTGAAAGAGACAGGGAAGCAGGACTTGACTGGGGAAGAAAGAGAGCTCCCCAGGTAGAGCAGCACAGCCTTCTCCATGTGTCCTCTCTCCCCTTAGCCCCAGGCCCCACGCAGCAGACCACACATCTTATCTTCCCTCCTCCTCCTCAGAATACCAAACATTATGAGCTGTTAAACTACAGTGAGCACGGGACAACGGTGGACAATGTGCTGTATTCATGTGACTTCTCTGAGAAGACCCCGCCAACCCCCCCAAGCAGTATTGTTGCCAAAGTGCAGAGTGTCATCAGTAAGTCGGACCCCGTGGCCCCAGAGCCGGCCGTTTTTGGACCTGTTGTGTTAAGAGCCCCAACTGGGTGGCTCTGGATTGCCACCAATGACTGGCACGTGTCTTCCTGGTCCCACTGGGCAGACTCTCCTTGCTCACGGGCCCAGGGAAAGCCACGGAGAAGCCAGTGCCATACATGTGCACACCTGCTTGGGGACTTCAGACTCACCTTGTCCTTTCGCAGCATCCCCCAGCCCTAGTCACCCCGCAGTTAGAATTGGGAGGTACAGGGGCCCAGCCACAACCAACAGCCCCGGCCCCTTCACTGTTCCTCTCCCAGTGACCACACTCCTCCTTCCCAGGGCGCCGCCAGCACCGGAAACAGGACGAAGAGCCGAGTGAGGAGGCAGCCGTGATGAGCTCCCAGGCCCAGGGGCCACCGCGGAGACCCTGCAACTGCAAAGCCAGCAGCTCGAGCTTGATTGGGGGCAGTGGGGCCGGCTGGGAGGGCACGGCCTTACTGCACCACGGCAGCTACATCAAGCTGGGGTGCCTGCAGTTCGTCTTCAGCATCACTGAGTTTGCGACCAAACAGCCCAAAGGCGATGCTGGCCTGCTGCAGGATGGGGTCTTGGCCGAGAAGCTGTCTCTCAAGCCCCACCAGGGCCCTGTGCTGCGCTCCAACTCCGTTCCCTAGGACTGGCGGCTACCCCATCACCCGCCTGTCCGCCCACCCCAAGACTCCTGCAATGCAAAAATGTACACAAACCAAGCCCGGGTTTTTTCTATACACCAGAAACCCTTCAACTACAATCTTTGCATGAAATGAAGAAAACCTTTTGACTGTTTTTTAAAAATCCTTTTTCTTTTCTCAAGTTCTAGGGGGCATTTGCACATATATTTGTACTCAACATTTCATGGGAAAGCGGCAGACCCGAGCTGAGGAACAGCGTGGGCAGGGAGGGGAAGGCCCACAGTCTGGACACTTCCTCCAACACGAAACCGTTCCCCACCCACCTCCTGCTCCCTCCCCCTCACCCGCCGTTGTAAAATAATCAGAAACTTGTTCTATTTTGTGGCAGTGACAATAGTTTTATATTAAAAGAAAAAATACAGTTTTCATACAGCAAAATCTATACAATATCATTGTTTTATTTAATATAAAGATCGCTACCCACCCTACTTCCGTGGTTCCCACCCTCCAAGTTATTTTCCCTTTCTGCAGCGGTTGCACTACAGGTAGCTACTGTGTATTATGGACAAATGAGAAATGAATTCTTTTTCTGGCTGTCCATCTATTTTATTTCAAATAAGGAAAAGTGTATTTGGATTTTGTGTAAATACATCTAGTGATGACATTTTTTTCAATGTTTTTAAAAACTGTACAGTACTACATGTGGTAGAGCGTTTTCTTCAAATTGTCTATTGTAGCAAAAACGTTTTTGTCGTAAACCTGTTTCGTCTTCTTTTTTTGTTCTCTTGCCACTTCTCCTGTTCCTCCCACCCCTGGCTCCCTCCCCCCCCAACCCCCACCCCCAAGTAGTACCAATGTACATAGTAATTGTAATGTTTTAGACTTTACAGAAACTTTCCTGTATTCTGTATATAAAAAAACAAAAATACTTCAAATTATGTTTTCTGCCTGTCTGTCCTACCTGTCATCACCCTTTGAGGGGACCCTCCCCAAGATCCTGGTCACAGTCTTATTGAACTAGTCTCATTCCCAGACACTCAGTCCCCAGGGGAAGGCAGGAAAGAAGAGGTCTGGGAGAAAAGAGCCCAAGGTGGGTGTGGGAAAGTGGAGGGCTAGGGGTGCATTTGCAATTGGGTCGGGGGTAGCTGTTGTCTGGCCTTCCGAGTGACCTGGAATCATTTGACATGACCACATACTGCATGAATCCGAGAAGGTGCAGGCCCTCACTCCTTCCTGATGACTCCAAAACCAAGATAATAAAACGAGCTGTTCTGAGACCTCTGCACGCTGCTCTAGAAACTTGAACCTCAGGAGCTGGGGCTGCCTTTAGTTTCAGTTGTTTGCTATCATATTTGAGTCATCAGTTCTGGGAGAAGTCAACACCTGGCTCTGTCCTTGCGCTGTCAGCCTGAACTGGGCACGTTGCAACTCATTCGGGCATCACTTGAGTTCCTCCTCTACACATGGCCTTTGCTGGGACTTTGGGCTTCGTCTAGGGAACTCGATGTGAGCAGTCTGCTTAAGAGGTATGGCTCCTGCCTCCTGAAGCTTAGAATCTAGTGGGAGCAATCAGCCAATTCAAACGTCTCTGGGAAGCACGATGAAGAAAAAGACCAGTGGAGCCGCAGCTTGCGTGACTAGCAATCCTAACTTCCTTATAATCACAGCTCATCAGTAGAATCTACTGCATTACCTTAATTCTAAGGCCCTGAGAATCCTCTCATCAAACCAAGCTCCCATCCTTTTTCAACTCCTTTCAGACCTGCCATGAGAAACTTTCTCTGGGAAGTTCTTTTTGACTCCTTAGAGATCACCTGCTCATCTATCCCAGCAGTATTCAAGGAAGTGGTACCTGCTGGTGTGTCAGGAATTTGCCTTGAGGATGGAGAGCGCACCCATTTGTTTCATATTCTATTCCCAGCTTCATCCCACAGCGTCTACAACTGAACCCCAAATCCATAGCACAGCCAAGTCGGAAAGGTCCCCTCTCCCCAAATTAGGTCTGTCCCTGACTTCCACCTACCCGCCTAGCTTCATCTCAACCACTCAGCTCCTCCTACCCTGATGGGCCTCCTGAACTCCTTGAGGACAGAAACATATATTGTTCTGCTCAGTATTTCCAAGGCTAACCACACTGCTGGGCACTGTCAAACAGTGGGTGCTCAGTTGTAATGGTTTCTTCAGGCAAGTCCTTGTCCTGGCAAGTCACCTGGCCAGCAGTCCCCTTACCTGTGCCTCCCTAGCTGTCCCCACCCACTTTGCCTTCATAGTCGCTTCTTGCATTGAGTCATGGAGATTCTTAACTTTCTACCACCTGTGAGGACCACCCCAGAGAAATTTCCTCCTGGAAGTTAGATAATAGATTGTGTTTTATTGTCTTCCTGCTGCTTCCCTTCAGAAATGAAGGGGATGGGGGGCATCAGAGGGTACAAAGGCAAGGAGATAAAGACAGCTAATGAATGAGTGCATTCCCAACAGCCCTGAACAGATGGTGCCACCCTGACTTCGACATCATCTCTCTGACCTTTATAGGAAAAATGAGGAAGAATTCTAGAACCTGAGGGCTGGAAGTGAGGATAAGGAATTGAAGGACTTGTTTACGGAGGCCAAGGCATCCAGGACCAGACTCACTCCTTCTCAGACATAACAGCATTGATGTACACACTTCTCTAGAAGGGGAGGACTCTGCTAAGCACAGATGACACCCACAGGGCTCACACACACCCTGTGAGCCCCTCCTGCAAGGCCTCTGCTATGGCGCATGCGCACAAAGGACAGTTACATAGAGGCTCGTTCAAGGGCACACATTGACAGAGACCAGAGATGCATGCACACACCTAGAGGAGCTCTTGGCGCTCATGGGCACAAACCCGTAAAAGGTGGTCCCGCAGCACACACACCCACAGGGTACTTCCTGGGCCTGCAAGTACACCCACACCTCCAAGGTGCTCACATCCAGGATCCAGGGGCACAAACACAACCTGAAGAGCAATGCCAGGGCCCACTCACAGAGTGACACTCTGTGATGTCACACTCACAGAGTCATTCACACACTCAAGAGTAGGTGTGAATGCACACAAACAGGCATCTGGAAGGAGTTCCCGCAGGCACACGCCTAGAGGGCGCTGCCAGGGCCCAAATGCACACGCGCACCTAGAAGGTGTTCCACAAGCACACACCGGGAGGACGAAGACGCATGCCTAGGGGGCGCTCGTAGGGCCCACGCTCACACGCACGCACACACACCCCTGTCCTGCCTCTCGCCCGCCTCCGCCTCCGCCTCCGCCTTCCAAGGAGGCGCGAGCGGGTGCGGGGCGGACCGGCAGCCGCCGGGCGGGCGGCGATCCAGGGAGTTGCGGGGCCTGTGCGGGGAGCGTGGGGGGGCTGGCGGCACGGCGGGCATGGAGGCGCTGCTGCTGGGCGCGGGGTTGCTGCTGGGCGCCTACGTGCTTGTCTATTACAACCTGGTGAAGGCCCCGCCCTGCGGCGGCATAGCTAGCCTGCGCGGCCGCACGGCAGTGGTCACGGGTAAGTGCTAGAAGGCCCGCGGGCGGCGGGGTGGCGGGGAGGCCGGGCGGCGGGGTCAGCGGCCCACCGGGCTCAGCGCGGCTACCGCCCACCCACCGCAGGCGCCAACAGCGGCATCGGGAAGATGACGGCGCTGGAGCTGGCGCGCCGGGGAGCGCGCGTGGTGCTGGCCTGTCGGAGCCGGGAGCGCGGTGAGGCTGCCGCCTTCGACCTCCGCCAGGTGAGGGGTCGGGGGAGAGGCCGGAGAAGGGGAGAGGGTGAGCGGAAAACAGACACAGTAGGACGCGGAAGGGCGAACAGAGCGGCTTCCTTAACCGGTCGTTACGTGCAGAAAACAGTCGGCTGATGCTCTGGTCATACAGGGAAGGAGCACCAGACGCAAGCTAGCTAGTATATTGGCTTTCTGAAAGAACTGATCGCTTTTTGAAGACGTTTAAGGATCGGTAAAACTTCCATCAATGAAAGACAGTAGGGAAGGGAACAGCAGAGGGAACAGCATATGCAAAGGCCCTGAGGCAAGACAGCTTAATTGATTTTTAAAAAACTGAAAGCAAAGGTTTATTGAGGCTGGATGGACCACAAAATATGGAGTAAAGAGGTGAAATAAAGAGGCTGGAAGCTCTGAACCGGGGCTAGATTCTGGAATCCTTTATAGACTCTATTGAGAAACTCGGATTTTATAGGATGAGCAGTGAAGATCCAATGAAAGGTCCTCAGCAGGGTGTGGACTGTCAAAATAGCCTTCTGGGAGGAACCCCTCAGTGGCTGTACAGGCCCGGACTAGGGTGGGGGTGGGGGGGTAGGGGCAAGAATGGGTGAGAGGAGACCAAGGAGAAAGAAGTCAGTTGTAAATGTTAGGATAAGCAATAATGGTCAGAGGGAATGATGATAATAATACCAAGAACTACCTACACAGTGCTGACTGGGGGCCAGGCACTGTTCTAAGTATTTCACACTTATTAACTCATTGAATCTTCACAGCAACTTCATGAGATACGTACTATGTTGTTCCCATTTTACAGCGAGAATACTCAGCCCCAGAGAGATGAATGTCACACTTGTCTAATGTCACGCTCTAATGAAAGACAAAGTCAGGATTTGCATCCAGAGTCCATATACTTGTCCACTATATTCTAATGCATAAGGGCAGATCTTAGTAAAAAGAGGAGGAGGACTCTCAAAATTTGGTACCTGGGGAGAGGGAAGAGGAGAGAGGTGCCTGGTGACAAGCCCAGACCTTGCTGCCCCACAGGAAAGTGGGAACAATGAGGTCATCTTCATGGCCTTGGACTTGGCCAGTCTGGCCTCCGTGCGGGCCTTTGCCACCGCCTTCCTGAGCTCTGAACCACGGTTGGACATCCTCATCCACAATGCCGGTGAGGGGCAGCAGGCCCTGCAGGGGGGGCGGCGGGTGGGCAACTGTCCCCTCCAGCCAGGTGTATGCCAAGGGCCAGTGGATCCATGGGAAGGACGCCCCCTACCACCCTCTCACAGATGGGGATACTGAGGTCTTCAGGGGTCCCTATGGAGCAGTGGTTCATGTCGAGCCCCTGCCCCAGGGATCAGTTCCTGTGGCCGGACCCACAAGCCGTTTAATCTGATGCTGCGAGTAAACCATATTGGCCCCTTCCTGCTGACTCATCTGCTGCTGCCCCGGCTGAAGACGTGCGCCCCAAGTCGCGTGGTAGTGGTATCGTCAGCCGCCCACCGGCGGGGGCGCCTCGACTTCACACGCCTGGACCGCCCGGTGGTGGGCTGGCGGCAGGAGCTACGGGCATATGCCGACAGTAAGCTGGCCAACGTGCTGTTTGCCAGGGAGCTCGCCACGCAGCTGGAGGGTACTGGTGTCACCTGCTATGCAGCCCACCCAGGTGAGGCCTGGCTCTCTGACTGTGCTTTGAGTCCCCTCTCCCATCCTTTGCCCATCCTGCGCACCCCCCACCTCTCACTGAGCCCCAGATTCTCAGAACAGTAAGGAAGCACTGTACGAGGAGAGACCTGTTCCTTGCTGATCTTGGAAGGAGGTTCTCCTTATCTGAGCTCTTCCTCTCACACCAGTAAGCCTGGATGCTGGCTACTGGATAGGGTATGTAATGAATGAAGCCCAGGTTCTCACCCCAAGGAGCCATCCATATGAATGAACTCACTATAATAGGAGGATAATGATGATGATGGCTAATAACTACTTGTTCATTCGAAAAGCTTTTACTGATTACCAGTTATGTACCAGGCATTAATCTTGGTGCTGGGAAGACAGCAGTCAATAAAACAGGCCCTTTCCTTGTAGAATTTACATTCTAGTT